CTTTTCTAAATGAATTAGCGCAGTCACCCACTAATGGGATACATGAATTTACAGTGCACTTGTTATGAACATAAACACAGAATTGAATTAAAGTTCAGTTTGCTTTAGTATGTCGTTACAACATCATTGACTTAAGGCAACTCTGCAGTTACCATAAGTCAATACTTAGCTTAGGGACACGTTTAAAGCGGTTAGAACAAGCTTATGGCTACAGAAAGACTTAAGGTTTCGGAGGAAACATCACCAACTAAGTCGGCACAGAGCTGCTTATTTTAGAATTATTGGTTAAATGATCCCGAGCTTTTAATAAAAATATCTTAAGTTAATTGATTATTCGACCGTGCGTCGGAGTTGGTAATTTTTTTTAGAATAGTTTCATACAATTATAGCACATAAATGCAAGAGCAATAAAGGTGTTCAGTGTTTTTTATAGCACAGTGGACAAGCGAACTTCCTATTGTAACCCTTCATGAAAAACTGAAATCTACTATGTTTCGGACTGAAAGTCTAATTGTGAAGTGAACTTTGACTGAATTATAAAATCTAATTGTACAATTTTCACAGTAGAAAACTCCTAAAAATCTCTATTTTACACTGAAGATGTTCTTTGTAGTATAGTAGTTTTTGTTTTATCTTCTATGATTGTTTAGGATTTGAAGCTTAGTATCAAACTTCAAACAGTCACAACGAGCGCTAAACTATTATACTGAACAAAAGTTTTGTGTATAATGTCGTAATTAATACACTAGACGGCCTTTATCCAAGCTATTATTTATCCCGTTTAAAACCAGGTGATCTATAGAATAAGTAATCAGTGATTTTTGGGCTTTTTGAAAACATTTAAGGGTAATTACACATAAAATAGCGATATGATAGTTATGCAACAGAGTTGGAAACAGGTGTATGTGAAACATATCTATACTATGAGCTGTGCTTATTTTAGATTAATAATGAAGCGAGGCCGCATTGTGGCAATTGCTATCCTCGTCTTTGCTGCTGCAGCTTTTGTTACCAATTTGATAGCAAATTGTTCGGATCGATGGGGGATAAATTCGAGAGATGGTGGTGAAAGAACGTTCCGTCGTGCGGGATTATGGCAAGTTTGTTTCAATATGTATCGTCATCGTTTCGATTATTACGGGAAAATTTATAACGGATGTTGGTGGTTATTTTCACCAGAAATACGAATGTTAAGATCATGGATATCCAATTATTGGTTACGTTGGGTGAGTGTCGAAATTAAAACTCATATCGTACTATAAACGATGTTTTGATGTCAACAAAAGTATAATAAAGAGGATGATATAATTAGCCCTAGATCATTCACAACTTTACTGTTAGGAAACGTTGATGTTTCAGTAACTTATGACTTGTTTTCCTTTAGGTGCAAACATTATGTACATTATCGATGATATGCTCTTTATTTGCCTTGGGATCATCAATCAATGTTAATCGTCAAGATAATTTTCGTTCAGCTCGCCATGTACTAATACAATCAT